CATTCAGCCGCTCAATGTCTTTTGATTGGAGCATTTAGTCCATTTACATTTAAAGTTATTATCGATATGTACTGGTTTGTAGCCATTTTTAGTTTTTTATGCCTGTGCTCCTTCTTCCCTTTTTATTTCTTCTTTTCACACAAGTCTTTTTAGCATTTCTTGCATTGCTGGCTTGGTGGTGATAAACTCCCTTAGCCTTTTTTTGTTTGTTAAGCTCCTTATTTCCCCTTCAATTTTGAATGATAGCCTTGCTGGATAGAGTATTCTTGATTCAGTCCCTTGCTTTTCATCACTTTGTAAATTTCCTTACATTACTTTCTGGCCTGATGTGTTTCTGTTGAGAAATAATTTGATAATCTAATGGGAGATACCTTGTATATAACTTTCTGTCTTTCTCTTACAGTCTGTAAGATTCTCTCTTTGTCCTGAACATTTGCCATGGTAATTATGATGTGTCTTGGTGTGGTTCTTTTCGAGTTCACCTTGTTTGGGACTCTCTGTGCTTGTGTGACTTTTTTCTTCCCCACCTCGGGGAAGTTTTCTGATATTATTTCTTTAAATAGGTTTTCTAAACCTTGTTCCTCTTAAATAAAATATTTGCACTTAATATTGTGAGTTTTAATACACCTGCCTTTTAATGTTTTAATATTTTTTGACAAATTTAACCTTTAAATTATACATAGAACATGCCTTGGCTCTGATTTCTGTTTAAAATTGGAATATTTTGTTCATCATAGATTTTTCTCTACTCACTTTTATTTTAAAAACTGCTGCAGTGGGATATTATTTATCTTGATGACTGACTTTTTGGCACCCGCTTTTATTTTGCACTGAAAGTCGGGGCCTTCCTTCCCTCACCCCTCCAGGCCCTGCTATAAACCTTCCCCATTTATCTAGAGCTCCTCAGGTTTCACTCCAGCTGTGGGTGAGGGGGACAGGTATACCTTTTGGTCACGCTTCACAATCTGACCACTGATGTTTCAATCCCCCATTTCATCCTGCTTCCTCCTCTTTCTTAATCACTTTACCCACTATCATGTTGACAGCACCTCCTTCAATGTTTTTGTGGTTGAGAATTATTCTGTACTAAACTGCAATGGTGGATTCATGTCATGAAACATTAGACCAAACACATAGAATGTACAACACCACGAGTGAATTCCTACTGTCAGCTATGAACTTGGGGTCTTCACAACTGACTATATCAAATGCACCACTCCGGTGGGGGATTTTGGCAGTGGAGGTGGCTGTGCATAGGGTTGGCAGTGGCAGAGGGTATATAGGAAATCTCTGTATTTTTCGCTCAAATTTTTTAATATATATGTTTTTTATTGATTTCAGGGAGGAAAGGAGAGGGAGCGAGAGCTAGAAGCATCAATGATGAGAGATAATCATTGATCAGCTACTTCTTGTATGCCCCCTACTGGGGATTAAGCCTGAAACCCAGATATGTGCCCTTAACTGGAATCGAACCAGGGACCCTTCAATCCACAAGCTGAGACTCTATCCACTGAGCCAAACCAGCTAGGGCTTTGCTCCATTTTTAAAACAGAATATGTTTTGTTTTTGTTAATGGTCACCCGAGGATATTTTTCCCCACTGATTTTAAGAGGGAATGGAAGGGAGGGGGAGAGACAGAGAGAGAAACACTGTTGTGAGACACATTCATTGGTTGCCTCCAGCACAGGCCTCAATCTCCGGAAACCAGGGTTTTGAACAGGAATCAAATCTGCCACCTTTTGTCGTACAGGCTTATGCTCCAATCGACTGAGCCAAACTGGCCAGAGCCTTTCTGCTCAATTTTGCTGTGAAACTAAAATTTCTCTAAAACTAAAATCAATTTTAAAAATAAAAGGCACTGCCCAGCCAGCATGGCACAGGGGTTGAGCATCAACCCATGCACAACGAGGTCACTGGTTTGATTCTCAATGAGGGCACATGCCTGGGTGTCAGCTCCATCCCCAACAGGGGGCATGCAGGAGGCAGCCAGTTGATGTAGATGTTTATCTCTCATCAATGTATCTGGTCTCTCTCCCTTCCTCTCTCTCTAAAAAATCAATAAGAACATATTTTTTAAAATAATAAAATAAAAAGCACTAACACCCACAGTCTAGACTCTGATGGACCCGCCCCACCAAGTAACCAGGGGGTAGAGTGTTAGCCACCAAGAAGCAGAAATTGGATGAGAAACAGAAATTGCCCGGGGCCCTGGGGCCTGAGAAGCCACCACCTCACCTTTCCTGTCAGACAAGCTCACAGCCATGATCTCCCAGGTGGTGATGGAGTCTCTCAAAATCACCTCTATGGTCTCTTTCTGCTCAATTTTGCTGTGAAACTAAAATTTCTCTAAAACTAAAATCAATTTTAAAAATAAAAGGCACTGCCCAGCCAGCATGGCACAGGGGTTGAGCATCAACCCATGCACAACGAGGTCACTGGTTTGATTCTCAATGAGGGCACATGCCTGGGTGTCAGCTCCATCCCCAACAGGGGGCATGCAGGAGGCAGCCAGTTGATGTAGATGTTTATCTCTCATCAATGTATCTGGTCTCTCTCCCTTCCTCTCTCTCTAAAAAATCAATAAGAACATATTTTTTAAAATAATAAAATAAAAAGCACTAACACCCACAGTCTAGACTCTGATGGACCCGCCCCACCAAGTAACCAGGGGGTAGAGTGTTAGCCACCAAGAAGCAGAAATTGGATGAGAAACAGAAATTGCCCGGGGCCCTGGGGCCTGAGAAGCCACCACCTCACCTTTCCTGTCAGACAAGCTCACAGCCATGATCTCCCAGGTGGTGATGGAGTCTCTCAAAATCACCTCTATGGTCTTGGAGGAGACTCTAGATGGAGGAGAAATGGGGGCCTTAGGAGAAGATGTGATGGAGGGGAGAGTAGGTAATGAGGGGCCCCAAAGGGACCGGTTGGAGGGCGAGGGTGTGGGCATGTGGAGGTTTTTCTATATTGGGTTGTGGAGTTCCACTATGATTCCAGAAAACAGAGGAGGTAGGGGTGCATGCAAATTAAATGTTCTGGTCCTGAGTGTTGGTAGGAAGTGCCTGGAGGTGGTTTGGAATGAGGGGTGCCCCAGCCTTACCCATTTTTCTCTGGGTCCTCTAACACCTCCATCTTCCACAGCCAGCTCTCAGGGAACTCGCTTCTGGAAAGGATGTCTTCTTCCGGCATGATATCATCATCCAGGTCACCTGGGCAGGTGGGGGGCAATCTGGGTTTAGAGCAGACCCACTTCCCCTGCTGGTAGATACTCATCTCTACAGCCCTGGAGGGGTTCCTGGCAGTGAAACACATCCAAAGACAAATGATGAATTGTCTGTAAGTTAAAGGCTGTTTCCCTTTGAGGGATCCTGCCTCTATAAAAATGTTAAAAGTCATATTTTATACAAGGGCGTTGGTATAAAGACAAGGATAATGCAGGCTAGGAGAAGTCATTTCCCCTGATTTCCAAGAAACAAAAGCATTTTCATCAGCTTCTAAAGGTATCCTGACCCCTGGCACGGTGCCTGCTGCATCAGAAGTGACATTGGTTATGAGAGCAACCAGGTGAGCAGACAGTCTGGACTGATGGAAACCCTGAAGGCCTCTACAGCCAACTGGGCACCATCAGCAAGTGAACACAGCTGGCCTGGGCTAGGGCTCACCCCTGGCTGGGCGCTCCTCAAGAAATTGTGGACAGGCTTTAACTTGGCTCTGGGTGTGTCTAACAACAAAGCAGGTGGAATTGCACAGATGCCTAAATCCATTCATGCTCTGGGATAATCCACCAAAGTGCCTTTGGCGGTACTAGTGTTTCAGTGATGGCGAGCCTATGACATGCGTATCAGAGGTGACACATGAACTCATTTTTTTGGTTGATTTTTCTTTGTTAAATGGCATTTAAGTATATAAAATAAATATCAAAAATATAAATCTTTGTTTTACTATGGTTGCAAATATCAAAAAATTTCTATATGTGACATGGCACCAGAGTTAAGTTAGGGTTTTTCAAAATGCTGACACAACGAGCTCAAAAGGTTTGCCCTCATTGGTTTAAGCCATCCTCTGTCTCACCCTCACTTGACTAAAAAACATACACTATACTGAGAAATAAATCTCCCCGTGGGGTAAACTACAGCCCAGCAGGTTTGTCTAACTCCCTCGGTAGCCTTATCTTCTCTTTGCAGAAGTAAGTCTGTGTCATGAGTAGAAAGCGGCCTGCCTAGTTGTCATCATTTGCAAAGAGATTGAAGATAGTCTTTTGCTCACGTGTGTTAGGAATCTTTGTGTCTTTTGTGGGTGGAGGGATGAAGGGGATGTGAGCTTTCTGGCTACAAAAAAATTAGAAATATTTCTTCACTGTGTCAAGAGCTGCCTAAGCCCCACCCCACCAAGAGTAAACATGTTCACAAAAATCACATGTTACCACATAAGGAGTCCATCCATATCTTTTATTTTAAAGGTTAAGTGATATTGATCTTTGGGAACAGCTCTCTTCACTTAAATTTTAAAAGATGTTAAAAATCAAAAACAAAACTCATCCCTACCTGGTTTGGCTCAGTAAATAGAGTCAGCCTGCAGACTGAAGGATCCTGGGTTTGATTCTGGTCAAGGGCACATGCAGTTTTGGACTCGATCCCCAGTGGGGGTGTGTGCAGGAAGCAGCCGAGCAATGATTCTCTCTCATCATTGATATTTCTATCTCTCTCTCCCTCTCTGACATCAATCCTATATAATAAAAACCTAATATGGTAAGTATCTGGTTGTCTGGTCATCCATTCAACCAATCAAAGCTTAATATGCTAATGATATGCTAAGGCTGCTCAACTGCTCGCTATGATGTGCACTGACCACCAGGGGGCACACACTCTGACTGGTAGGTTAGCTTGCTGCTGGGGTCCAACTGATCCAGACAGAGCGAGAAGGGCCAGACATGCCTTGGAGCCCTCCTGCGGACCTCCCTGGCTGGCCAACTTTCCACAGCCCTCCCCGGCCCTGTTTGTGCACTGGTGGGTCCCTCGGCGGGGCCTGTGCTCTCTCACAATCTGGGACCCCTCGGAGGATGTTGGAGAGGCAGTTTCGGCCTGATCCCACAGGCCAGGCTGAGGGACGCCACTGGTGAACGAATTCATGCACCGGGCCTCTTGAAATAATAATAAAAAATACATAAAAGGAATAAAGAGGAACTTTACATGGAGAAACAGGGCAGACACCACCTTAATCAAGCGATCAAGGTTCACATCAGCAGTGATAGTTCAAGTCAATTCTACCTGCCTCCTGATCAGACGCACCAAGAAAGACAAAGTATCTCCTCTGGGAAAGCCCTGCCCAAAATGCAAAATCTGATTGTGAGCAGGAGTAACATCAGGCAGACTCAGGGGGCTGAACAACTTTCAAATGATCTGGCCTGTATATCTCATGTATGTGAAGATATGGCCTGTATATCTCATGTATGTGAAGATATGGCCTGTATATCTCATGTATGTGAAGATATGGCCTGTATACCTCATGTATGTGAGGAGTGTGAGAGTCACAGAGAGACCCTGGGGGTGGGGCAGATAGGAGGAGGCTGAAGAGACACAACCAGACACACCAATGCAATGTGTGATTCTGAACTAGGTCCTATTCCTATAGAGAAATAAAATAATTTAAAATGTGGCAAAATTTGAGTGGAGTCTGTGAATTACTTGGTGGAAAGGAATTCACGTTAATGTCCTGATGCTGAGCAGTGTGCTGGGGTGTTTAGGAAAATATCTTTGCTGCCTAAAATAATCCTCACTAAACTATTCAGAACTCTCAGGGCATCAAACAGTTCAAGTGGGGGAAAGGTTTTTAACCTGCACAAGTTTGTCTGTGAGTTAAAGGCTGTTTAAAGAAAAAAAGATCATTATTTTTCCATTTGTCGGCCAGCCAGCCACTGGGCAAGTTTCCCAATCTTCCTTAGGTTTTAAGCAGAAGCATTCTTTTTGTTACTTTTCATCCTGTAATTGATAACGCAATTTCCCTCAATTTCACAAGCCGCTCACACTTGCATTTGCCCTTAGCAAATTAGATCCACACAATTTCCAGTCCCCAGTGATGGGCACCTCCCCCTCCCACCACCACCAGCCCTCAGGCAGGGCACCCCAGACCACAGGACTAACTCCTGGCCAGGCCCAGGTCACTGTCCCGGCTGTGCTCCAGCCGCTGCCTGGTGATGTAGCTGCAGCAGTCCAGGAAGGCGTCCACATAGGCCTTGTCCTGGAGGATGAACTGCGCCCTGGGTACCTCATGGGGTTCTCCCGCATACCGCCCTCACAGCACTTGCGCAGCTCCTTGCTGGGGTACTCACCCGCTGTGGGAACACCCCCCAGTCAAGTCCCCACAGGGCCTCCCAGGGAGGACCTGCCCAGGTCCAGGCCATCCCCTCCTCCCACTTTGCTGGGATCTCAAAGGACAGGGTGTAAGGGTAGGGGAGGCGGATGAGGGCTCCCACCTTTGCCCATCCTCTCCTCCATGAGCTCTGGAAGCCCAGCCCAGCATCTGTAAAGACTCCCGCATAGTTCTTTCCACTGCCTGGTGTGCAGCCAATGTCTGCCTTCTCCACTGTGTCCCAGATCTGCAGGGTGGGGAGGGAGTCAAGGGCAGGCTGAGGCCAGGCCAGCACCAACACATCCACCCAACCTCACTACCATCCTCATCCCAGGCCCAGACACTCCACAGTGGATGATCAGAGTGTGCTGCTGTGGGACTCAGAGCTGTGCCCATTACCATGACTGTCCCCAACTTAGACCCTGTCCATCCACATTTATATCTGCAACTTGAACTTCAACGCATCCTCATGTCTGTGTCCATTTTGGCTTCTGCACTCAACCCACACTCAACCTCACGTCACTGGTTGTCCCCAGCGCCATTCCCACCTCAACCCAACGCCATCTCTTTGCCTCTGCCATGTTTTACCCAACCTCAGTGACATAGGGACATACCTTTTTCTGAGTCAACCTGTTCTTCTTATTCAGTACAAACACGCCCTTGTCCACGGCCACCAGCCCCACTCGAGCCCCCTGGTTACCCTCAATCTTGAGCAATATCTGTTGTCCAGGTAGATGCTGATGCTTTTCCTCCTCCATGGCACTTTTCACCACCAGCTGTGAGGAGGTGGGAGGGGTAGGCAGGAGAAGTCAGCCCAGCAGGGCCCCAGCCTTGGTCGGGAGAGGACAGAAGGGGTCCTGGTCTGCTCTGGAAGGAAAGAAAGGTGGACACAGAGAAAGAAGAAGGGAGACGCACAAAACCAACATCAGGTAGAAAGTCAAGGAAAGAGAAAATTGGCAGAAAGAGAGATACTGAGAGTAATACAGGGAAGAAAACAAGATGGAAAAGGAGAAGAGAGAGGCAGGAACTCTATGAGCAGAGGAGAGAAGTGGGTTCAGAAGGACAGAGAGAGGCAGAAACAGAGAAAGCCATGGCCGGGCTGAGTCACGGATGGGCACAGAGACACAGCAACACTTACCGTGCCCACACACGAATCTTTGACATCCACCCACACGGAATCAGCTACCACCTCCCTCTGACCTCCATTGTTCAGTGTGTAATAGGCCACCAGGCGGAAGGAAGGAATAAACTCTGTCGTGATGGTCAGAGGCAGCACCACCAGGACCTGGCCGGGCTCTCGCACCTGGCGTCCCACCTTCAACAGCTTCCCCTTGTTCATGACCTTGGGAGACAGGTTGGCAGAAGGATCAGGAAGGCGGAGGGAGGGTGTAGGGATCTGGAAGGGGTAGGACTCCAAGGGCTGGAGAAGTGAGGAGGGGGGAGACCTGAGGATTGCAGGAAGCCACACACCAGGTAGGTGAAGTATCGGACATTGGCATCGTGGCCAGGGTCCATTTGCAGGACAAAGTTGACATTGAGCGTGTCCCCTGGCTTGAGCTCTGTGGCGGCCGTGGATAGGTGCAGGTAGTTGTTGGAGTTGCCCATCGTACTGTAGGGTAGGGCCTGCATTTGATTGGAAGCCTGTCGCCCCTCCGGGAGGCCCTCCTTCATTGTGCGTACCTGAGCAGGGAGACAGGGATGCATGCTGCCGACTTGCGATGTCCATGCCCTAATCCCTGGCACCTGGCAATATGGCACCTGGTGTGACAAGAGGGACTTTACAGATGGGATGGAGTTAAGGATCTGGACATAGGCAGACTATTTTAGGTTACTCAGGTATGCTAATGTCATCACAAGGGTCCTTATAAGACACCCATGCAGATGACAGGAGGCCCTGTATAAATGGCAGGAGGAACCTCTATCCAGATGGTAGGACTCCCATATGCAGACAAGACTCCTCTATGCAAATGAAACACCTCTATGTGAAGGGCAAGTTCCATTTATGCAAATGAAAGGTTCCCTACTATACACATGGTAAGATCCCTTTGTACAACCATTAGAAGCTGCTGTACAAATAAAGTCCTCTGTTTCCCTGGGGTGGGGTCCTGCTGGTGCAGACTCACAGTGATCAACAGGGGCTTCAGGCTCTTGTGTGTGTTGATGGTGAGCTTAGCCAGGCCATCATCGCGGGTCACAGAATGCACTTGATTGGAGCCCTGAGTGGCCACAGGGACGCGGCCAGCGGGGGAGCCATCAGGGTTCGTCACATACACCTGTGGGTGCAGGAAAGGTGGAG